ACATTCTATTTACTGTTAAAATATATTTTCATTTGGAGAAAAAAGGGCTATATGAACAGAATGGCCTGCATATACATACATATTTAAAGTATCTAGTATCTAAAAAAGTAGAAACAATGGTGAACCTCCAAAAATGTGATAATTTCATGTAAGAGAATGTGTATGAATTGTATAGGGGAAAACTGATTAACTGTGTAAGCTTCCACTCAAATCACAATAAAAAGTTTAAAAATATAGATTAAAAATGCAATAATAAAATAACTCTTAGTCAAATAAGCACAGTGGCCAATGAAACTGTAATAAATCATCTTTATTGTAACTAATCAAGTTTTAGACTTTTTTTACTGATTGGTCTTTAATTATTGCTAAACAAGTTTTATTTAATTCATACTCTTTATAGGAACAAATAAGCTTACTAAAGCTTTTATGGACTTTGAAATGAGATTTAAGTGGCTAACCAGAAAGTCAGCAGTTTCAATGTACCAGCTGCTTTCTAGGAGAAGGATGAGCACATAAATTCTGGCAAAACAGGGGAATTAAAACTGCCAATCATCTTCTTGGTTAGTGGTCACGCATTCAAGCACTGTGCTTCCAAGTCTCCTTAAACAGGGGTGGGTGGAAGTAGATATATGCGCGCGCGTGTGTGTGTGTGTGTGTGTGTGTGACAGAGGGAGAAGCAGAGAGGGAGGAACAAGGATAATACAAGAGAGTGAAGAGAAGGCAAGAAAAATCAGAGAAGAGGAGGAAGTAGAATTGCTTTCAAATCAATATTACTAATAGTCTACTGGGTGCAACAGAAAAGAGAATTTTAAGTGTATACAGCAAAATACAATAGCTGTTCACGTCTCTTACAAAACTATAACAGAATACATAAAAAATAAAAGACAGAGAAAAAAACATGATAATAAAGGGAAAAGTAAACTAAAGAACAAGGAACAGACTTACAAAGTTTACATGTATGAAGAAAAAACACTCAATGTCATGGTTATTTTTAAAAAACCTTAACATGTAGACTATTTTGTCACATTTAAACATTAAGAACTGCCAATTAAAACAATCCCCAAAGAACTTTCTGTTCAAAATCGATGCTTAATAGCTACCAAATGCTAACATTTTTAGAAGCTAGAATTTTGTTATAATTTTTAATAAAAATACTAGCACATGGCTGCTTTAAAATAAATAATATAGTTTTCTTTCCATTTAATTTTGATTGCTCAAGGAAATGTTGGGACAAACTAGACACATGAAAACAGCATAATCCTACAAAATTATAATGGCTATTAAATAGGCAAGTGAAATAAGCTTCTAAAAATTAGATCGTTATTTTTCTTGTTTGTTGTTGTTTTTGTTACATGCCGTTGAGTCACTTGTGACTCACAGCGACCCTATATACAACAACCCTAAACTCTGCTCTGTCCTGTGCCAATCGCACTGTCTCTAACACACCCATCCCAATTACCCCAGTCACTGAATCAATCCACCTCATAGAGGGCCTTCCCCTCCTGCGCTGTCCCTCCACCCTCCCAAGCATGATGTCCCTCTCCAAAGACCTGTCTCTCCTTACAATATGTCCAAGGTATGTCAGGCGAAGCCCCAGAATCCTTGCCTCCAAGGAACAGCCTGGTTTAACCCTCTCTAGGATGAATCTATTTGTTTTCTTGGCAGTCCATGGTACATTCAGTACTCTTCTCCAGCACCACAGCTCAAAGGCATCAATTCTCCTTCTATCCTCCCTAGTCATTGTCCAACTCTCTGATGCATAACAAGTGATTGTAAAAACTATGGCCTGTATCAAGCGCACCTTAGTCTCCAGAGAGACACCGTTGCTCTTGAGTACTTAGAGAGGTCCCTAACCACAGACTTTCCCATAGCAATACATTTTTTTATTTCCTGGCTACTGGTGCCAAGAGTGTTGACCATGGAGCCGAGCAAACTGAAGCTTTGAACAATGTCAATCTCTTCACCATTCATCCTGATGCTACCGATTGGTCCATTTTTAGTTTTAGATGTAAATTGCTTCAAGTAGAATTATTTCATTACTGCATATAGATAACTTTGAAATGGAAAGAGCAGAAAAAAAACAATTTTTTCATAATTTTGCCGTACCTTTAGCTAAAGCTTCTTTATACTTCTCTTTGGCAGAATTCATTTCTTTTATTAATTGTCTATAACTGGATTTTAATTTCTCCAATTCTGTCTTTGTAACCTGTCAAAGAAGCGAAATGTAGGAAAATTTTTATATGCTTAAGCATCAATTATATAGATCTTGAATTTCAAAGTTGTAACTCATATGTATTTTACCAGTTCTAAGCCAGAGTTGCTCTTTACTACACAACGACATTCTAAAAATTAGTTTAACATTTGACAATACATGTGCTGCCATATGAAAAGAAAACAATATTATAAAAGTAAAAAAAAATAATACTGACCCATTCACTTTAGCCTTTTTAAGTTGAAGAGTAAGTTTCAGAGTCTCTTCTAATATCCATATTTGCCTTTTCTTTCTTTCCTATCTTTTTAATGACTTCTTGCTTTTTTAATGAATGATATCCTGATGTCAATCCATAACCATCCAACCTTCGATCAGTAGTATTAAATGTGTACAATTTTAGAGATGGGCTCTAAATTAAGATGGGACAGACTAAGGATGGAGCTCTGGTGTGTTAGTCCTAAAGAGTTGTGCTGCTAACCCAAAAGTAACATCTCACTGGCAGTTCAAATCCACCAGCATTTCCACAGAGGAATGGGGCAGTCTCCTCCCACATGATTTATTCCTTCAGAAACCCACTAGAGGGTCAGCTATGTTTTTATACATTGTCACAAAAAACATATTTATTTTCTTAAAGCTTTATAAAAGTAGCTCAGTAAGTAAACAGCAAAAGCCAAAAGTTATAAAAAAGCATCTTATCACGGTTCAGTTGAAAACATTTTCTTTTTCTTAGAGAGACATAAAATGATAGTCTATCTTAAAACCAATAATGTTTAGGTTTAACTAAAAAAGTCTTATCAGAGACATCAACAAAGCCCATTTTTGGTAGATAATGATCAATAAGCAATTTCAAAAGTCAAATATGATAAAATATTCCATGTATTAAAAAAATACATAAAGGAAAGAATTCCAGAATGAAAACACGAACCTTGAACATCTCTGCCTCAATCTGCTGATGAACGCCTAGATAACTTTTTTTCACTTGCTGTTTGTCCTTGATCATCATGGTAAGCCTGTGCAATGGTCCAGAGTTTAGGTCTTCTGCATGTGTCTTCATTATTCTACTCAGCTGTTCTGTCTGCTGAATCATAAGTAGCCAAGACTTTAAAAAAAAAAAAGAGAGTCACTGAAATCAGCATTTGTATTAACATTCTCCATTTAACTCTGCTCTACCTATTCAAGAACTATAAAAATTTAGTCCTATAAAAATTACTGCATTAATATAAGAATGGTGAGCACGTTCCTGGCAATTGTTTAGTGGGTTATGAATGGCTCACATCGTTGTTGTTGTTGTTGTTGTTGTTGTGATGTCAAGTCAACTATGACTCAGAGTGACCCTGTGAACAGTGGACCTGAACCCAGGGGATCCTGCACCATCCCTGTGCCTTCAAGTCAGCTTTGTCTCACAATGATCCTATGTAAAATGACAAAACACTCATCATACACTATCCTGATAATCTTTGCTATGCTTAAGCCCACTGTTGGCAGTTACTATATCAATTCATCTTGAGGGTTTTCTTCTTTTTGTGCTGACCTTTCATTTTCCAAGCATGGTAACTTTCTCCAACTATGGACCCCTCCTGACAACATGACTAAAATATGTGATTTATAAAGTCTCACTCTCTTTACTTCATATTCAAATTCAAATAAACATACTTCAAAACTCAGTGATCAGAGACTATTAATAATACTGTTGAGGTGTGCTGTTGAGTCAGAGCCAACCCACAGCTGACCCTCCAGTGGGTCTAGTAACATACTCAGCTTTCTCCGATGGAGCATCTACTAGATTTGAATCTCTAGAACTGATATTATACAATTTATAATGGTTACTGTGCCGTCAAAGTCATTCAAATGGTTCTGAACTTTGCCCTATACTGAGCCAACCTCATTAACTGACACTCTTAACTCCAAAGTCACTGTCAATCCGTTTCATCCATGGTCTTCCTCTCCTATGCTGACTCTCTGTCCATCCATATTAATAATACTAGGGAAAGATAAAAAATATTTTCATTAAAATAATACTAGGAAAAGGATTAGGAACATAGAACTCTTAAGTACACTGGAATTTGACAGTTTATTTCAACACTTCTCTCAGAAATTTCTTCTGAACATACTGAAATATTTTTTCTACCTCTGATATCCTAAGATTTTATGATTTTATTAAAGTTACAAACTTGCTAATGATAACTTATTTTGCCTCTTTATGGCATCTAACACTACTGGCTGCCTTCTTCCAGGAAGAGAGTCTGCAGAAATGACTATCTTGTCTTCCACCTGCTTTAGATTCCTTTGCAATCTTTGATGATTTCTCTTCTATTGTTGTCTATCTAAAATTTTAAAACCTTCTGAATTTCTTTTTATATTCTTCCATTTGAATACCATTAGTTCTAAACAGTATTTCCAATACAACACATCTGAGGGGCACACACAATGTCTCTATAGCAGAAATATATACTAACAAGTCTGGACTAAGTCATCATGGAGAGTTGCTAGAAGACTAAAAGCACTCCTCAGTGGCTAGACTCACTAACTTATACATACTGAAAAGAGTAACAGAAAAATATTATTCATTAATCATCTTCAAAAATCTATTCAAAATCGATTACTGGAGTCTTACCAAGGGAAGGGATGTTTATGTAGAAAATATATTTTAAAATGGCTTCAGATATCTATGTGAAAAAAATCTACTCTATTACATTTGATTTATGCACATATTCCTGTTAGTATTCCCATGTAATCCTAAATCAACATTTTATAAGTATTTAAACCAAAATTACAGCCTATATGAAGCAAATTCTTAATGTCAGGGTCTAACCTGACAATCTTGTTTCTAAACACTACAATATTCTGGTGGATTTTTTTTTTCTTTCCACAATAATCTGTTTAAATAAAACAACCTTTGAAAACATTTGTTTGCTAAGGATAGTAATTTTTAGTCCTGGAATTCTATGATGAGCATTAGATTTGTGGTTATGTATTCATCACATTTGTTCTCAGACTTAAAAAGTAAAAATGCGTACATGCCTTTGACAACAAAACTCTTTGAAATTAGTGTCACTTCCTTTAAATCTTAAAATGTATTAAACATGCAAACAATAAAATTCTAAGTATGAACTAAAAACCAAATAGTCACAATAATGCTTAACCTTGTTTTCCTCCAATTTTCCATTTCAAAAAGAACAAAGTTGCAATCAGAAAGGCAATTATTGAGTTTATTTGGAGGTGAAAGAAAACTAGAATATGCAAAGCACTTAGATGGAAAAAAAAATTTGGAGGTACAGCATTCCATGGTCTCAAAACCTACTATACAGCTGTAATAAAAACAAAGGGGAGGGGGGACCAAAACCAACCCAGCATGGTACCGTTACAATTGTTATTGTGCCACACAGGCCAATGAAACAGAACTGATAGCACAGAAACAAACCCATCTGTCTATGGTCAATTGATAATCGACAAGGAAACAAAATCTATCAAATGGTGTTGGCAAAACTGGACTACTACCTGCAAAAAGCTAAAGCAGGATCCACAACTCACACTTTACATAAAAATCAACTCAGTGTGGATCATAGACATAGGGGCTGACAAATACAACCAAAAAGATACAATCTGGAGAGAATAAAACTGATGAATGGAACCTTCTAAAGTTTAAATCCCTGTGTGCATCAAAAACTTTTTCCAGCAGGGTGAAAAGAAAACCTACTGACTGGGAAAAAAACATTTGGCAATACTATCTCAGACAAGGGTTTCATAACAAAAATTTTAAGAATCCTACGGGGACTCCAGAAGTAAAAAGACTGATAAATCAATTACAAAATAGACAAAAGACATGGAAAGACTTTTCATAGAGGAAGACATTTGGATGGCCAACAGACACATGAAGAAATGTTCAAAATTACTGGCAAAAAGAGAAATAAAAATCAAAATGACAATAAGATACTCTCTCACCACATTAGCAGTGGCAAAGTGTTAACTTGGCAGTAAGCAATAAATGTTGGAGAGGATGTGGAAAGACTGGAACTCTCATACATTGTTGGTGAGATTGTAAAATGGTACAAAAATTCTGGAACACAATTTAGCATTTCCTTAAAATGCTACACAGAGAAATTCTATACCATTTGTACACTAATGTTCACAGTAGCATTATTCACAATTGCAAAAACATGGAAACAGGCCAAATGTTCAACCACAATCGAAGGGTTTGAGAAAGTGTTGTATATTCACACAATGGAATACTACACAGTACTCAAGAGCAATGATTTTGTAAAATACTATGTAACTTGGAAGAGACTGGAGAGAATTACATTGAAATACCACAATTTTATAAGGACAAATACTGCATAAAGTCATTATTGTGAAAACAAAAATATAACTAGTAAAACAAGTATGGTGGTCCAAGGGAGGAAGGGCTGGGGGAAATCGATAGGTGAATTGAAGAGATAAAGGAAAGGATAAAAGATCCAGTAGGCACCTGAAAAACAGGGGTAATGATGAATATAATTCAATGAAAATTAATTTTGTAAAACATAATATATTGGAATGATTATGTAAAATACAATGTGAATCAAGGAAATATGAAACACAATGTATGTAAATTTTGTATGCAAACCAATATAAAATAAAATTTTTTTAAAAGTACAGTATTTGGATAAAAAAATTTATGAAATGTGTAGAATTTTATGGCTACCAAAAAATATGTTTTCAAGAATACTCAATACACACACATGCAGAAAATAGTATTCTTGTCCTATCTTCTAAAAGAACTATTGCCTAAGTGCTTTGTGATAATACGTTTATGTGATTCCATATGGGGTCCTAGTACTTTAGGAATTTTTTAGAAACTAACATTAAAGACCACAGAATAAGGTCAAATTGTTATCCTCCTCCCACGGAGAGTATCCAAGTGAAATAGTTTGTGTGCTGCTGTCAGTGCCAGACACCCAAAAACCTTCATAAACATAAATTTGCTCCCAATTGCTATTCCCACACTGCTCTTGTGTTTCCTAATCTGGCCTAGGTCCCTAACTAAGCAATACTATATCCGCAAGAATTCCAGCTATAAGATTAAAAAACTCCTTATCCTTCCTATCAGAACCTTCCATGTATCTTTTAACTTTAACAATAATTGGTTTCTAGTCCACTCCCAAACTCTCAACCAAATATTGCTAATAAACATTCCCCCTCTTATTGCTCCCAGCACCCTGAGGCTCAGCTTACCCTTGCCCACAATCAATCCACCAATATGTCTTTATGATTCAGTCTCAAAAATATCCTACAAAGCTCTATCTTCTAGCCATCCCCACTGCCACCTCTCTTTGTCAATGTAAGACAGCGATTATAACACTTCTTAAACTTTCTCTCAAATCCATGCTCCTTAACATAGTACAGGAGTTTAATGTCATTTTCCTGTTTAAAATAATAAATTGGCTTTCAAAGATTATTTCCAATATTTATTTTTATCATTTTCTGTCCTCTCTGTCCTGCCGACATCATAAATTATCACTCTTCATCTAGCAAAATAAAGCTTGGTAAATACTTTTTGTTCAGTTCTCTGAACATAGCAGGTTTTCTCTCTTCTTGTAAGTTCTATTTCACCTTTAAAAAGAAAATTTCATCTTTTCCTTCAGGAATCAGAAAAATATAAGGTTGCTGTTAGTTGCCATTAATCAAGCTATGACTCACAATAAACCCAAATGTTACAGAGTAGAACTGCACTCTACAATTAAACAGGATGTAATCTACAGTGAAGTAGTTTGCCAGTTCTTTGTTCCAAAAGATCACTGGGTAAGGTCGAGCAAAAAAACATTTAAGTTAGGTGCAAACTGATTTTTGTCATTCTTTTAGCATCTATAAACTTGTTAGCAGTGAAAATAATTATTTACCTATGTAGATACTTCAGCTTTTGAATATCCTGTAACTATGGCTATGAGGTATTATGATGCCTTTGTTCACTATACGAGGTATTTAGCATAATGCCTGAAATATACTGCTGTTAGTTGCCATCCAATTGATTAGAATTTATAAAAACATCAGCTGAACAGAGCAGAACTGCTCCATTGTATTGTGTTGTTGTTACATGCCGCCACGTTGTCTGATACTCATAGC